GATGCGGACTATGACCCTTATAAGCGAATGTCTGAAATGTAACATCTTCAAGTGGTCTGGGACCTACTATTTCCAGATACGAGGACTAGCTATGGGTCAGCGACTGGCACCAGTTCTTGCAGTTTGCTTTATGAGCAAAATCGAGGAACCGGTAACTGCAAGTGATGTTGTTTTGGTGAATATTCCGAATAAGAATATCAAAACGCAGTTGGTTGGAAACAGGCTCTACTATCAATGTTGTACATCAGAGCAATGCATAGTATGCCCGTATGGTAGATTAGGAGACTGCGCGAAAGTAGGGGTGGTGTACCAGCTTGAATGTCTTAGCTGCAAAGCATTTTACAGGGTGTCCCAAACAAATGTATCGAACGTTTTATCGTTGATATCTCTCTTCTAAAGAAGTCCTTTCTTGTCTTAGGTACCAATGTGTAGAGCTGGCTTCAACTTAGATTTGCATCATAGAACGAACCACTCATCTCTCCTCATTACTGTAGGACTACGATAGAAACTTCAAAGAGGGTTTTAAGCAATGAAAGGCCATATCTTGCCCCAGAAAGGAAACAAAATAGCCTGAAAACATTTACACTAGGCTAAATAGAGTTGCTGATTATAACTGTATAGTTTCCAATATTATGATGCTTCATTGAAGAGTTATGCCAGGTAAGAGGTAGCGGCCATTTTTCCAATGTTCCTGAAAAGTGCGGTTACACCGTTTAGAAAGCTTCGTAATCTTGTGAATAGTTGAGTATTGAACTCAGCGTCCATAGAAACCCTATTACACAAGTTTTCACAATTATTTGAAAAATTTTGAAACGGCAGTTTTTTTTCCACATTGACACCATATGTTTTAAGTTTCCGCAGTCCTACAGTAATGAGAAGAGATGAGTGGTTCGTTCTATAATGCAAATCCAAGTTGAAGCCAGCTCTAGAAAACGGTACCTGAAGCAAGGCAAAAGACTTCTTGGGAAGAGAGATATCAACGATCAAACGTTCGATACATTTTTTGGGACACCCTGTATATCGGAGGAACTGGAAGATCACTTGGCATTCGCATAAAGGAACACTTAGCAGATAAAAGGCGCCAAAGCTTGGTTTCACCGCTAGGAAAGCACAGAAGCGAGGTGCATAAAGGAAACAATTTTGTCATCAAATGTAAGATGCTTTCTTACGAAAGGGAGATTTCGGTTAGGAAAGCGTTGGAAGCATTCTGGATATCTGCAAAGAATCCAGAAATGAATAACAAAAAACGAGTGCCTGTCAATCACTGCTGATTCCTTTCTTTCATATCGCTATGCCAGCTTTAGATCACATTGCATGTGTATCTATGGATGACTCATTCGTCCGCCGCGACCACTCACTTCCGGTGCGGACTTCCAAGCATATCGGTGGACTTCCGGTACGTCATCTTCGCTCTACCCAATTTCTGTTAGCGAAACTGAGGGAAAGCCGAAAACTAGCTCGTTTGGAGGCGATGTTTGGTGGTGTTGAGTTACGGGTGACGCTTTGAACCATTTTCAGGCCTTTGAGGAAGACGAAGGCGTCGAAACGTTGGGCCGTGTGATTGGAATAAAGACCACCTACCAAACCTGTATGGCACAGAAGTAGTTACAAGATATGAACATGCCCAGATTTTATGAAAACGGAACTTGGAAATTATTAAAAGCGTTATTTTTTAGTATCTTCCACGTGACTTCAGCCTGGGTTCCAGTTTGAAACTTCATGCAAAAAGGATATAGAGAAACCTAGGCTCAGTTTTAGCTCTTAACAAACGCTCGTGAGAAGACTAATTCAGAATGATTTGCGAAGGTCACTTCATGCCGAGAAGAGGCGGTTATCATAGGGACCTGAGAAATTATCACAACGAACCTTGGTTAAGGAATACGAGATGACTAACTTTTAAAAACAAGAGATATTTTAGTGCACTTAAAAATAATCTTTATGCATCAAATTAGACAAAAAAAGGAAAAAAACGCTTTATTAACATTGAAAGAAAAAATCTAGAGCCGACAGCTCTTTCCTTCTTTTCCACGGGTCCCCTTGGGGACCATCCTGTTCCTGTCGTCCCAGCGGCCCCTGCCAGAGGGCCGGGTCACCAAAATTAACGTCGCCCTGATTAGTTCAAGGCCTCCCACTCGAAATGGGGGCCTTCGCCGCGGTGGCTCGGCTTGCTGTTCGGGCGGTGGTGCTGTTAATCGCGCTGCTGCTCCTGCTGTTCATTCGGCACTAGTGCCTGCTCTTCCTCTTGCTGTCGAGGGAGGTCTGGCTTCACGTCCGATCCGATCCGAATATCCTCTTCGCAGGAACGTAAGCGAACGCGTCTATTTAAGCGTGCTTATCGTTGTTATATGTTTATGTTTTTTCTAGTAAAAAATGCGCTTTTGATTGACAGTTATCCCATTATTGTCAGCACAGCGTGCTAATCGTTGTTATATGTTTATGATTTTCAGTGAAAAGTGTGCTGTTGATGGCACTTATCCATCGTTAATACATTGACGAGGAATCTAAAATGTTGCATATTTAAGTAAAAGGTATGCTATGTATTGAAAGTTATGCCATCGTTATCAAAAATCTGATGGAACTACTAGCAAAGCTAGTTCCCATTCCGACTAGCGCGGCAGAGGTAAAAAGCGGATTTTCTATCTACTCTGTTACCAGAACGCAACGCAGAACTCGTACAACGGTGGAGCATCTAAGCAATTACTCAAGATTTGTCAGCCTTCTACTAAACATAATGTTATCTATTAGGTTGATGCATAATCCCTGCGCCAAAATAGGTACAGACAGCAATAACTCGCAATCATCCTATATCCCAAATAGAATTCGATATATCATTAGATAGCGCAAACCTAACTCTACAAGGTAGAGCTCAAATATCTACACCAGCTTTGATCAACGCGAAGTTTTAAACCGAAAACTGAAAAAAACCATGCGTCCGAAAACCATAAGACCAATCAAAACAAAATTGTAACTTCATTCAAAAAGCTCCTACAAAATTTCTTTCTTGCTCACGCGTATACATTCCACTTAAGACATTTATCTATGCGGTTCCTGTTTTTTTTTCTCAGCCAGACGATGAGAAAACGAAGTTTTTCATGTTTTTGCCAAATTAGTGCTGAGATGTTCTAGCACTAACAGTTGTATAGTACATGCCATTAGCAGTGAAACTTTGCATTTTCAGCCTTCTAGCTAGTTCACGAGAAATAACGAACTTAGCTCTCTTCATCAGAAACTTTTCTTGCCTAGTTGCCAAAAAATTCGATATTTCTCGTAAATTAGCTGCTGTAAAAAGCTGAAAATTCACACTCACGCTTCTAAGGTCCTATAGTATACAGCTGTCAGTGCTAGAACATCTAAGCATTGTTTTGGAAAAAAATATGAAAAAGTTCGTTTTCTCAATTTCTAGCTAAGAGAAAAATACAGCAACTGCATAGACAGATGTCTTATACGAAATGACAATGCGTGAGCAAGTTAGAAATTTTGAAGGAATTTCTGAACGGAATTCCAATTTTTTCTTGGTTTTTTGTGTCGCTTGGATCTTTTTCGTTTTTGGCTTCAATCTTCGCTTGGATCAAAGCTGCTGCAAATCTTTAAGCAATATCTTGTAGAGCTAGGTTTGCTCTACCTAATGATATATCGAATCCTACTTGGGATATAGGATTATTTCGAGTTATTGCGGTCTGTTCCTATTTTGGTGCAGCAATTATGCATCAACCTAATAAAAACTTCATTTAAAAGATTATAAGTGGTCCAGACAGGCTGCCATCAGATGACTTTCTAAAATATCCTAAAAGATGGTATGAAGAAACTGGTCACCTACCTGCTGACTTCCTGGTGCTACCAGAGGGCCGGGAAAAAAACACAAAAGCGCTTAGAAGAAGAAGAACGTTTCAAATCCATTTTCGACTCAGAACGCTTTTTGACGCAATTCTACTTCTACTCCGATAATCTTTGAAGGAAGAAGAAGATCTTGCAGGCAACTTATTGTCTCTGACGTTAGCGATAGTAATATTGTTGATGATGACGTGCAGGAACTGTAAGTTGTTCCTAACTTGTACATCTTTTGGGATAAACCTTACTGCTTTCGTTTTTTGCTGATGCAATGAAATAGGAGCACAGATCTTCATAATGTCAATTTTTTAAATTTATTAATATTTTCTTGAATCCTAAAAAAAATTTGTTTTAACTTTTACCTAAATAAGGTACAATTTAGAGCTCCTCATACCACGCTTTTTTACCTTTTCTCTCTCCCCTCCCCCTAGGCTCACATACCTCCTTCACCCTGGAAGATCGGAAAAAGCCGAGACTCCCTTCACCTGGGGAGAGCCCGGCTCCCTCTATCGCACCCATATTTACAAAACGCAAAGAATCAAATGCCTTTTGTAGAAGCGTTTTTCTTGTGCTTTGAAAACGCAAAGAGAATCAAGGTGAGTAATATGGCATTTACATCATTCAAGAACACAGTCGAGCGCCCATCGTAGATTTCGCGAAGCAGCCGGAGGATGAATCGCTGCAGTAATTCAAGGGTCTCGGGTTGGCCGCTGCACGAGTCAAGGGCCATGCTCGAGCGGTGTATTACAGTTTGAATCAAGTGCGGGTCAGCAACACAAACGGCGGTTGATTCAAGGCCCTCAATCTTTATATTAAAACATCGTCGCCTGGCACGCGGACGCTGCAAATGTTCCTTCGGTCTTCAATGATAATGAGGGCCGCGGCTTATCCAAGCAAAGCGTGGTTTTTGAAGAGATGGATTTGTGTTGCATCAAAAATTAGTTAAGATAGTTTTATGATAAGATTAACGGTAGAACATAATTCATAACAGGTTTTAGACCATTCTAACGATTTCAAGTGACAAAGCAGAACAAAGGGATTTTATACGTGACTCGCACGAGCCTTCCATTGCAAGAGTTTAGGCTGTTCGCCATAATATACAAAAATTGCAATTGTTTATGATAAACGAAACCTTAGATCATAAAATCTTCGATTTCGTTGCTGCTTCATCTCTACCAGACAGCACAACGTTTGGATTTTTTTGGGTTCATCGGAGTGCCTTTCTTACACTTGAAAGCACTAGCAAATTCGGGCTGGTTGGCTAGCACTTGGTTGACCCTAAAGAGGAATGTATGCTGTAGATGCAAGTGTATGGGTTTAACGGAGTTCTTGCAAATCAAGAAACTCTCACCGATAACGTGCCGGAGAATGCCTATCAGTAAGAATTTGGTTGAGCAATCTCTGCTGCGTGGTATGCTCACACCAAACCTTGAACAATGCCACTTGATATGGTGTATAATATTTTTGTGAGCCTAAAAGCGTTACCGAAGCATAGCCTATGAAAAACATCTGATCGTTGTCATAATTTTCGAGGCCTTTAATCCTCGGTTCCTTCCCACCATGCTTTTGCAGATAAGCTTTGTAAGCCTAAACAAAACATCATTTGTTATGGCATAGATGCTGACTGATCTAGCCCTGTGATATACCCTGTAAGCCTGTTTAACTCCGCCATTATCAGCAATATTTTCTCCTTGCGTGAGTTCACCATTGATGCTGTGATTGGTGCTGGGTAGTACCTAAGTTTTTGGTGATATGCATCAAGCGTGCTGAATAACTCTGCCAACTTCAATCTTATTGTACTGATCGACAAAGCACTGAGCATGCTCTTCAAACTTCTTCTGCATATCCATATTCCACCAATTATGAAGATTCCCGTAAGCATCATACTGCCGTCCTAGAAAACAGAGTATGCGATGATAAGAGGAACTAGTAGTTGAAATGTAATATTATCAGCTATTTGCAGGTTTAAGATATAAAAAAAATAAGCACCTTCATGATCAAAGCCGTGTGTGATTTCATGCCCAATTATAGACCCAATTCCTCCGTAGTTAAATGCCCTGAAATCAGAAAGCTCTTGTATTTAGAGAAACTATGAGGAATTCGAGATAATAAAAAAGCTTTGTGCACTTTTCACGTTACAAATTTGCTTCGATGCTTTGAAAATTGATTCATTTTTTTAGATTTACTAACTTTTTGTAAGGTTTTTGATCTACCGCTTACAGAAAAGGACACTTTGATCGAACCGTTTGTAACAAGATATAAATGGTTTGTCTTGCTTTGGAACGCAAGCTCACCTTGATATTTTGGATACCATATAAGGAGTGGATTGCGCCTAATATTTGAATACTGTGTTTTCTAGAAAAAAATGGCCCTGTAACGAATCAAATTTCAGCGTTTGAGGTCACGCGTTTTGTTCTACAATGCCGCATGATGTGCTTCAAAAATTACACGCCATTCGGAGACGACAGCATAGTCCGAAAATACGAATATTGCATATTTTTTCCACTTTTTATCCAAACATATTGAACCAGATTTTTCGTATAAAAAATCATTATTATGAGTAACGAAGAGAAGTTGTGAAGAAATGCTATGCACGGCGTGAGCTTTGCGTCTTCGCTTCGATAAAGCAGACTTTGGAATGCGATCAGAGAGTCCTTACAAAAAAAAACTTTTTCAACTTTTTGGATTTTTTCAGAAAACAAGATTGTCACAAAAAAGACGGCGTTAACGTCACATAGGTCCGACACTTAAGACCACTTATCAATCTTCGCTTGCCTATAACTAATGTCGGAAATTGTCTGTACGCTGAATTGAACATTTATTATAAGTACAATCAGAGCCACATAAAGTTTTGGCCTGTATTTAATGTCATTTTAACCCTTCCGGTTACCCATTACCCAAAGGTTGGGCCAGACTGCGCGGCGTACGCGGCGTACGTGGCGTACGCGGCGTACGTGGCGTACGCGGCGTACGTGGCGTACGCCGCTTTTCCAGCGTAGTCTGGCACAACCCTAAGCTGACTTGCAATTAAATCTGATTGGTTTACTCGCATATGCGCTAATCATGTTAGTGATTAATGTCGCATCGCATTTTGAATTGCCGAAGTTTGTGTGAAGTTTACTATTCGAGCTGACTATCACGCTGGTATGGTGTAGTTCCTACCGCTTTACAACCGATCAGCTGGAAGCGGCTTGCCGGACCAGGGATAGACACTAGAATGGTAGATAGAGATCGTATATGAGAAAAAGAAAAGAGGAAAAAAATACGCATCAGTACGTACACCTCAGAAATATTCAGGACAGTAATCAAGCTTACGACGGAAACGTAAGTTTGAAAAGCCAAGTTTCTTTGCACTAAGTATTAAGTATTAAACAATTGATGTTAGTATTTCACAGATAATTATATGGCATCATCAGTAAACAAACGGACAAAGGTAGAGAGGAGCAAAAAAAAACAAAAAATTGAGGGAAGCTCATATGATTATAAGATAACGAAATTTTTTTAGATTTTCTACTATCGCGAAATAAAAGTGTGACTCGTTGCCAACGCACGACCAACGGTGTGGATCATCCAGGTTCGGTGCGTATACGCGAGACGGAAAGTGTAATCATATAATGTCATATGAACGAAAAGCTTGCCCTACTTTTTCTAAGGCACGCCTCATACTTGATCCGCTTAATCCATTTGATCCGCTTGATCCGCTCCATCATTGGACAAATGAACTGACCAATAGTGAAGTGGATGAAGTGGCACGAGCGGATGCAGCGGGCAACCGCTTCGCTATTGCTCTCAGTTCACTGAATCGACCAATGACGAAGCGGATCAATCGGATCAAGTGGACTAAGCGGATCAAGTATGGCGCATATCTAAGTCTAAGTCACATATGTTATTCACGAATATTACATCAATCTGCTCTACACCTAATCTTTACTATATGAGATGTAATTTCGAATTTTGTCCTCTACTCTTTGCGATTACCCCAAAGAGGAAACGAAACGTCAGCTCTAAAGGAAGAAAGTGCCCCCCGCACTTGTAAGAATTGCGCATTTGACGCGATAAAGGATTGCAAACTTTTAAGTTGGCAAAAGCAAATTCGTTTAACATAGATTTTTCTACTTGTTTATTGGTCCTGTGCTGGACCGACTGGTACTCGCTATTTTGCACCGCTTTCTCTCTCTTCCTTTCTTTTAGTTTACTGACTTGTAAACCTTAAACCTGCTAGGTTGGCAGGCATGCGCTTCGGGACCCGCTTCGGCCCGCTTTTTGAAGATTTTCGAAATGAGCTAACGATTCTTTACGTATTAGATTGTGATTACATGACCCAGGGTGTCAACGTGCTTGGCTCTTAAAATCGCTAGGCTTGCGTGATCGCGGGAGTCGGCGAGTTTGCAGCCATTGCACGCGCATTAAGCTTTCTCTGTTATAATTCTCCTTTCAAACGCTTTTCTGCTATCAGATGTTAGCTTCCACATAAAACAATTCTGAAAAGTACTGATCAAAATTTTAAGGCTTTGTGGTATCGTGGACTTTCCATGAATTTTGTAGGATAATTTTCGACGGCAAACGATGGGGCATAAGTTCAACTTCATCGTCTTCTATGATAAAAGGTAAAAGTAAAGCCTTTCTATTCTCAAAAATTATTCAAAGACGTGTTTAGACAATTTTTGGTTTGAAACTCTTTGTCATACGAAAGTGGACCAACTCGGACGCAACAGCTTCATCAGTAGCAAGAAATACGGTTGGGCGAGTTTTTGTCCGGACACTGCTTTTCAAAGACCCGCGCAAACTAGTACTGTATCTCGGAGGGTAGTAAACTATATGTCGCCGAAAGTGGGAGGGTCCCGCGCGAACAATGCAGCGGATACTCGGCCTGTGCATGTATTGGAAGGTGTATTTTTCCCAGTTGTCCGACGGGACCTTCACTTTCGGCGACATATAGTCCCCTACCCTATCTCGTAGACTGAACAAGAACATGCTGGTTTGATTAGCATGTTCTTGTTCACTCTATGAAGTACAATGTTTTGTTTTTCTTTCCACAAACGTTGAGAGTATTGAATAACATTATGGATGACGATGTTGAGTGAAAAACATCAGAAAGTAGCAGAGGAAAGTGCTATTTTTTCAAATTCTGTACAAAGATTGTCAGCTGAAACTAACCTTGGAAAAGTGTGGTGGAAGAATGGAGCCTGAAGAATGGCAGCAGGGAGTTCTGGAAAGATCAGTATGCGGAGAATAAACGAACGTCTTACTCTGCGGCTTACTAATAGAGTTAGCTGTGTCGTAGTAAGCGTTCACTGCAGCTGAGTTGAAACCATACTCAGAGCGATCTACTGGTTCCATTAATCGTTTAAAGATGAATTTGATGGTGTACCGACCCATCTTTTCCAGCACTTCACTGTACGAATCATCGTCATTCAAATTCAGCTAGAACAGGTTGTTTCGTCAACATAACAAACAATGACATGTGCTGTACTCACGCCGTCATATGCTTTGTCAAGCTTCTTGTCGTCTAGAACGAAGTCGGGATATGCTACCAGACGCAACATTTTCTTTTCCTTGTGCAAAGCTTTCTGAAATAATCGCTTTAGACTGTTTTGCAGTTATTTTCTACTCCGTATACTTGCTTTTTTGGTTGAGCCGTCCAACCAGTTGTTAGTCTTGAGCATAACGCGGAAGGCCGCTTGCAAATCATCGATCATACTCAATGCGACCTTTTTTGATTCCTAAATTATCGAAAATTAATCAGCTTCATCACGCGCTTCAGTACCTTGTCGAATGCTTTCCTTATATACATTGCACTAGTTGCGTATTTCAATAGATCCTTAGTGCTTTTGGTACATTCCTTCCACCGCGGTGCTTTCTCTTGTCTTCCATACATCGCGCGCATATAATCCTAGATTTCAATTTGAAGTTGAGTACTTCAGCTAGGAAACACTTCGATGGAAGCTAGTTTCGAACTAATATTAGCTAAGCAAATCAAAAGCATCTCAACAGCGATATGCTGCTACCTGAGTGGCGTCCTCGTATCTTTCTCCCATCTCCTTTGTTAGTATTGAAGAAAATCGTAGAAAAACGTAGTTTGTGATGATGCGAGGGTCCGTTTTATTTAAAAGTTTGCTTATTCTAAAGAAAGCTGCTGTGATACTCAACTTTGGGCAAGCTTTCAGCTGTACCTTTTTAAATATTCAAAATCTCGAACGAGTATTTGTGGGTTTGATTCAAAGTAAGGGCGGGCAGCAGCTGGAGCGACTTCGCGGAAAAACCGGTGCCAGTCAATCTGATCGAAAGATAACTTGTGGTTTGATGATCCATCGTTTCTTGGCTCAAAATGATGCGTAAATACGAACCAGTGGCATGTATTATATTTTCTCAATTTTCTAAAGCGACGCAGATTGTAAAACTGGTCAAGATTTTTGGAAGCCCCGAATGAAGCGCGAATCTCTGCTATTTTTGTTTCTAATTCAATGACTTCGTCTACATCCTCTCCAGTCTTCGTTGTGTTTATGGGGAGTTTGCCATCTTCTTGATACAGCGTAACCTGCGGTAGAAAAATTCGAATTTAAGTTTAAATACTGGAAATAAGTTACTTTTTTAATAAGAAACTCTCGGTACAGATTGATCTTGGCGCCATAAGTGTCCCTATTCAAGTACATCCTTGCCGGCAAAGTGTTTCCTCCTTGAGTAAACTAGAAAAAGGAGCAGTCAGCATGTTTTTGATAATTTGAAATTTATCTTAATATTAGGTTATCGGATAATTTCTGTTACACTTTTTTTCTAAAATTTCTAGGAAATTCCGGAAGCTTTCTGAAAACCCCAAATTTGCAACACGCTTAGGACATAGCAGGATCTACCCACCAGCATGATTGATGCCGCAAGTGCACTAGTGACCAAAAAGTGTACGCAGTTTTGGAAAAGCAGTCAAATTTTTCAGTTTTTGTCTGATCTTTTTCTCTGCACTTATTGCGCTTTTCCCCTTCCAGAATTTTTTTAGAACGTATTTTGGCATTGTCTCTTACATGGAAACATTCCCGTGCCTCTAGCGTTTCAAAAACGAGGAGTGAAAAAATTACCAAAAAAATTCAAAAACTTTCCTAAATTCTTCTTTCTATGTGCTTCGTATAGAAATGAATACTGAAAACATAAAAAGGATTTTTGAAATTTTTTGAAGACGTTTCCCTCGTAAAAATTCCGATGATTGCAAAGATGGCGCACACTGAAATTTAAACCGCTCAGAAAAACGTATGCCATGTCCGCTACAGATTATGCCCTACCTGATTATCACATTGCCCGGTCTATCGCTGACCACCTGAGAGGACGCCAGCTCATTTACAAAAATTGAAAGACACGGATTTCAGCCACAAAGTGGGTATCTTGGCACGGATCGCGGATACGGTACCATTGTATAGGCCTTTTGATCTTACCCATATTGCCGTGAACATGAGGTCTTTCCAAAGCCTCTGAGATTTCTAAGAATTAAAATAAAAAGTGTAACAACAGTTATCCGACAACTAATGATATGAAGATTTTTGACTTTCCAAAAAAGTAACGCAACTAAATGATTGCCTCAGACTCTTTACGTTACACTCATGCATACTCGTAAGCAAGTCAAACGTGTACTGCGATTGTCGCAACGGAAGGCTAAGGGGGCACCTACAGCAGAGAGGAGGGGTCGTAAGATAGGGGAGCTTGATTCTGAAACTTAATCTTGGAAAAAAAATTGACTAGCAAATAATGATCAAATGTCTCCTCAATCAAGTCAATGGTGTTCAAAGGCACCGTCCACTCTAAGTTGAGGGTCTTGAGCTTTTGAAAGCATATAATAGCAGGACCCCCTATCAAGCCAATGCCCAAGTCGCGGCGCAAAATGTCGCTTCGGAAGCGAGAAAATCGTTCCGGAATAACGATAACGACGCACAAGACCTCCAGACGGCATCGCCTCCCCATCCTTGCCCATCCATCCCTGCGCGTCCATCCAATCACCGTTTCGGAAAGCCTGCCTGGTTCTCCGGAACGGGGAATGTCGGGTTTCCTCGACTACATTTTCAGAATCAGGGACATGAGAAGGCCCTGAAACGAAGACCTGGATGTCGAGAATCTGGATGGACGGTGCCTTTAATGTGTCAAATACAATTGAGAAACACTTTTGTAAGACATGTACCAGTGTAGTGACTCGTTTTGCTGCACTTTTGAAAAATAGATTTTTTTGATTTTTACTTAGGCTTACGAGGGAATGGTCAGGATCGACGTGGCCACTACAAGTAAGTTGCACACCATTAGATGCTGCACAGAATGCTGATTTCGAATCTGTATTCATCCATATCTGCTTAGCGATGTGAGCGAAGTTAGGAGCCGTTAATTGAAAGCCGTTATTTTGCTAGAAAGTCGTGCATGCAAAGCTCAAGTTTGGGGTTACAGAGCCGTGTTTGGCTTGATGGTGAGCCGAAACATGCAGCTAAGTTATTTTATATTCTTAAAGCCTAAAAGTGAGCTGAAAGTGCAATAATGTGTTCAATATTTGGCAATTTTCATGTGCGATTTTATCGCTATAAAACTACTCATAAATTCGCCCACAGAGGCGCTAATCAGATTTGGTATAAGATTCGAAATCAGCGTTGATTTCTGCATCAAATAGTAGGTATAATGCTTGGATTAGCCATTTTGACTTCTGAATATCTCATTGTCAGCATTTTTTCTCCCTTCAAAATATGGTATCGCAGATGGAAATCGAACATGCTGGCTTTGAGTGAGACTGAAACTAAAAAACAGTGGCACCGAGGGGGAGCCGAAAATGGGCCGCAAAATTTTCAAAAGTCACATAAGTTATAGAAATGTGCAAGCGACTTTTTTACGCTTGTAAATAATCAAAATAATTTCTAAAATTTTCGGAACATTTGATTCAGCTTCATAAAAATTTCGGGCTTATGCCCTGCGAAAATTTTTGAAGCATATCAAGAAAATTTTCGGAGTGCGTGGCTGACGCCACCACCTTCCTCAGAAATTTTTGACCCCCCTCCAGAAGGAAATCTTGGGTACACCGCTCTTATGCTAGTAAATGAGAGGGATGTTGAATGTGCCGATTGGGGTAGAAGTTCTGCTTTCAGAGCCTCAGTGAAGTCTCACATAATGAACAGCGCATATCCTGCCAACGATGGCCAACAATAATTTGTAAACCTTTTATAATGTTGTAAAGGATAAAGGATAAAAGATTCGGCGTCTTCAATATCCTCTGAGGGCATGCGCCGAACACACACTAACTTCATAGTTCGAAGAGGCAATTGTATGCGTGCGAGCCTATTACAGTGACTTGCGGGAACCAGCCGTTCCCAAGTCAGTGCTTTTATCCTCCCAGATTACTCTGGTACCAATTTAACGGCCCCGGAGGGTAGAAAGCTTGGTTGGCCCAGGGACGGGGATTGAACCTGTGTCCGATCTGGTCATAGCGGCGCCTCATACCACTACGCCACTCATCCCCTATTGTAATGTTGTACCCTAAACATTCAACTGTACTTCGGAAACGCTCTCTCATATGGTATAGCCCGTGGATTTTCTTACAATTTAATGTATGGCAAGATTAAATGAAAAATGGGGGATTAAATCTGGATCGGTTCAAATTTCATGAAGCTATAGAAGCTTATTCATTGCAATTACTCCCCGTTGCGGCGCCATTCTCCTACTTTCTGTCCTGAGAATTTCGGGGTGTTTCGTTACGTCTTCAGTATTTCAAAGGCTTCCAGGCTTAAAAATCACAATCTTTGGATTTAGGATCGCATTTGCATTTGCTAAGTTTGCTTATTATAAAATAATTAATTATAACGATTAAAGTAAAATGCTTTGTGTGCAAGACAAGTCCATTTACCCTATTCTCAGGTGTAGGAGCAATGCCCTTGCTTTAAAGGCAGTGCCCGGGCAAAAACTCGATTTTGAAATTTAGTGCTTACCCGGGCCTATTCGCTACGCTGAACCCGAAAATCCACACCGGAAAGCGCGAAAACGGCGAAGAAGGACTCTAACGCAGGAGGGAAATCAAAAGTGGGCGGGGTCTTCCCCAGGGTGAATTCACGGTCCCGCTCCCGGAGCGATCTTTTCGCTTCCGGTTTCAAGTCAGTCGTTCTTTGACTCTGATTTCAGATCATGCATTCGCACTTGGTCCGTTGAGATATCAGGGGGGTTAGTGGGATTGAAAAGATCGCTCCGAAAGCTGGGACCGTGAAATCCCCTTGGGGAAGACCCCACCCACTTCTGATTTCACTCCTGCGTTAGAGCTCTTTTTCGCCGTTTTCGCGCTTTCCAATGTGGATATTCGGATTCAGCGTAGGGAATAGGCCTGGGTAAGCACAAAATCTCAAAATCGACTTTTTGCCCGGACACTGCCTTTAAAGGCGAGCGCGCCAGAATCCGCGCGAGACCTTCTGCCATAGGGCGCCTTAACTGAGGAAATAGTAGGGGACTAACAGCTTCGGGCACAACGCGCAGCGGTGCCTTTTCTGCTTGCGTTTAGCAACTAAATGACCATTGTACACCTGAGAAAAAGTTTTAGATTCATCCAGAAAAAAAGGAAAAAATTCAAGGAATTTCTGATTGTCTGTATCTTGTCATGAGTAATCCAACAATGACCAACGTTTACCTTCGCGAATGCATGTCATCCTCTAATGGTCCCACCTTCAAATCTCTAGGTGAAATCGCCGAGGAAGAGAAGAGAACAAATTGCTATCTGCTCTTGTCGGGAAAAATCTGTTACCAGTTTAGCTAAGAAAGAAAAAAGGACTGCACATCCAACCCTACCTACAGTGCCGAGTGGTAATAAGGCCGATGTTAGGCTGCTAAAGGCGCCTGGCTTGAACAAAAACGACAATCTGGACGTCTTGGACAACACACCATGAAGACTGCCTCGTGCTCTGCACCTACAGCGTCAGATCAGTCTCCACAACGCCGATCTCCACGCCTTCCTCTACAGCAGTCGAAATCGCTGTTTCAGAAGGTTGTATGAAATCATAAACAACATACAGTTTGAGGAATGTGAGAAGTACGAAAACACAGTCTATGATCTTTGAAAAAACACGTTGTAAATCAGTCCTCAATTCGTTACCATTATTATAACTAAATTACAAGTATGTATATTTTTGCTTTCATATTTTGGAGAGGTTACTTTAAAAAATATGCTACTATGACTGCGAGTGAGGTGAAAGTTAAGCGGTTTTAAGCATCAAATTTTGGTTGGAGTATATTATGAAGCTATGCGTATTGTAGTATAGTTTTATGGATTAGCGAACATGCTACAAGAATTACCACAAACCTCGAGAAGACGGCGAGACACGTTTTTTTCGTCTTCAGTTACTTTGAAATTAACGAACAAGTCAACTCGGCGGCGGCGTGAAACGAATGAAAGCAATGAAGTCAAATCAAAATCCTCTCTTTTCCATTTTTTATCTCCTTGCAAAATCGGCCAAACGCCAAATTTCTGAAGCGTTCAAATGTAAACGGAAGTAATGCAAAAGTAGGGGTGAGAAACAGTGACAAACATTTAGTGTCCGTATCATTCGCCTCGCACCAATACGATTTTGTCCATTTATGTCCATACATTTCTTGTAATAAATCTTCAAACCGTTCATAACTTTTGATTTATAACTCTTCTTTGATTCAAACAACTCTGAAAACATGCTTGAATGGAAAAACTTGGCTGGAAAAATGCAACACTTTTGAGAAGTAAAGTGAGCAAAGTTGAAGCTATGCACTTCCGCGTTTAGATTCTCACCTCTTAGTTCGTTTTCCACTTTATCTCCAAGTTTTGTAAATTGAGAATAAGATATGTGGTGACCGGGAATTGGATTCTTTTTTATCCAGTTACCGCAAGTAAACTCATAGAAGTCTTGACATGGATCCACCTGAAGTGATCATTTTTTACATATCCTAAAGGATCGAAGGCAACTGACCGAGAAGTTGATGGATTTCCTAATCATTTTGGACGCGAGTTTGTAGCCAGGTGAATTGCCAATGTCTTCTTCAGGGGGCTTAGTGGAAGGTGCACACCACCAGCAAAATATCGCCAATATCCACTGCATGACGAATTCTAAAACTTGCTCCTTGATTTACAAAATTTGTGAGCAATTTGTTTATACAATCAAGTAGTAAAATAATGTCAAAATTCAAATCAGCCTTGCAAAAAGTGCGTGGCGAACGTCATGCATCTCTATTTAGAAACATTTTGTCCGCTGCCTCCCCCCTTTCCACCCTCCCTTGAACAATCCTGGGACCACCTCTCATATATAGTACACCTGGTGTTTGAAAATCAATCGTACTGCGCAAATATCAGGTGTGAGTTGCAAATTTGAAAGTCGCTTACATATTTCACAAAAATGTGCAAGTGACTTTTTTGAGTTTGTGAATGAAAATTCTCTAAATCTCAAAAGAAAAAAAATTGCGGGGCTGGTGTCGTAGGCTACTTTTCGTTATCAATATCGACCAATATCGATTTTATCGATTTTTATTGGTTTCTTGTAAAGTTTGAGCTACGGGGCTGGGAGTTGGTGCGGGGTGGTAAGCTAGCATGCTGATTACGAATACAATATTAGTATTCAAAATTATCCGCTACTTTTATCGCATTCATCGATTTTTTGCAAAGCTTAGCTACGGGGTGGGAGTTGGCAGCACAGGGGGTAATCGAACAGCTGATTACTAAAACAGCGGGAATAGTGAATTGGCATGTAGACGTGGGCACAGGGAAAGGTTGTACAGGGATAGGGATGAGAGCTTTATCATAGATTTTTGACAGGGCCGGGCGGTGTCGGGTAAGCCAGCTAGTACCTACTATAAAGATATTTAGCAGTGCCATGTCATACCTCGAGCCAATTTTACAACGTTTTCTTTGAATTAAAAGTATATAAACGATTTTGGAAATGAGGGGTGATTCCCTGGGGATTCTCAGTGGATGCATGGCGTAGCTTTATAAGTTGATGCAAACGCATGAAGTCTGTCCCGAGCAAATGCGCTTACCACCAATTATAAAGGGTCGTTGCAGTGTCACATCGTGCAGCGATTAGAATCGCAAAGGTATCCCTTAGGCCTTATGCGCAGGTTATCAGGTATGAGAACCTTGATAATATTAAAAGAAGAAGAAAGATATCTAGGATAGCGGGATATGACGCGTTCCCTCTCAGGTCCTTTCCCTCTCTAAGTCTCTAAGTGCGTACTCCTAAAACCTCCGTAATACCTCGAGCGATACTCCCAAATCGCGATCGCTGCCGATCTGATTGCTTGCCAGATGTTTGGAAATCCAATGCGTGTAGAACTTTCGCATAGACGCATAACTTTTGTAATAGGCGTAAATGCCAAATTTTGCTTATATAAAGTAGCTGGCTTACTCGGCTCCGCTCGGATCTGTCAAGACGCTACGATAAAGAGCTCCATTTCTTTCCCTGTACACGCCAATTCCCTATTCCCGCTGTATTAGTAATCAGCATGCTCACTTACTCCACTGTGCCAAACCTCAGCCCCGTAGGTCGAACTGGAAGGCGTGCAAATGCTACCCAGGCAGCCGACTGCTGCCGCAGCCAGCCGCGAGAGCTGGCGTCAGCCAGGGTCCGGCACGAGTCGGTTTTTAGGGTTTCTGAAAACGAAGTCTCCCCTGACTTTCGGAAGTTTTACGAAGTCATCTTTGATCTACCTGCTTAGGAGAAGATGAAAACAAGAAAGATTTACTATTTTAAAAGAAAAGACGTAAGATAAGAATGAAAATCCAAATTGGAGCTGAATACTACGCATGCGCAAGATTTTGGCATTAGAGCGCGATATTTAACAAAGCGAGAAGAAATGAAGGCAAAAAACAAAGGAAAGATAATGATATGAAAATGTCTTCGTGCTCAGGGATAGATTTTTGACCGGGGAATCCGTCCATGCTAAAAAGATCCGAAACTTATGTGAAGTGACAAAAATATATGCTCCAGACGATCTCAGATCGTCTGGTGGCCGTCTGAAGACGATCTAATTTTGGAAAAGGTATTACTTCACATAAGTTTTCAAAATTTTTTACACAATTCTTTTGCAAATAATTTTCTATACATATAGTTCGATTTTGGTGTCACATGCTTCTGTGTGCGCTGTAAACAAGCAAATTTTTTGTTTTACCCTTGCTTTCAAATCGCGCGCACTTTCCACCATACACGATGGAGCATGTCAAGCGTGTGATAACCTGTCCGAAGAGCTTGTGTTTGACTAAATGCCGCTTATTCTTGGTGTTTGGCCCCGGCTCGTCGAAAACGATATCCATGCTATGTGCTTTAAAAACGAAGTCCAGCCTGCTTCCAGACGATCTGTGCCGGGCCCTGGCGTCAGCGCAGCCGCACATGTAAGGCAGGTGCCGGAGCAAGCGAATATTTTGTTCAGGTTGGGGTCCCGCCCTAACATTGACATGAGAATTGACATCTCACCATACTGGCGTCGATCCAAGTGACGGTAATTCTGCGCGGGACCCCAACCTGAACAAAATATTCGCTTACTCTGGCACCTACCTAAGGATAATTACACCAGCAGTCTATAACTCTCCGCCGATAGATTTCTTCGCACCTCGTCGCGCTGAAGTGCGATATCAGCCTCAGGGGCACTATCAACCGTATATATCAATATCTGTATCATTTTAAGCAGCAAAAAATTCCTAGTTTATTGATAAAAAGCAAATGAACGGATTCACACAGAGTAAAGAAATTCTTGAAATGACCAGAAGCTAAAATAAACCAAAAATCAAAAAGTGTTTATTCGTCAAAAAAGTTTTTTGAAAGAAATCTCGAGTATCTGAAGACATGGTTTCAAGGCATGTATGAAGATATGTGGTTTAAATTTGACATCGAGGGGCTGCGAACTACAAAAGCTGAGGCATTTCATAAGTAAGAATTTTTATACCCCTCTTTTGAATTTTTTTTTTGAAATTTCAGTTGAACTTTTCAGGAAGCTAAGGGGATTACTGGTACGCAAAACTCATCCTCCAATCAAAGAACACGTTTTCAAAAAATTGCTGTTACCATGTTGAGGAAGCTTCTGCACGTTCTGGAGGTTGTTTACTATTAAGCGATACAAATCACGCATAACGGCTTTTTCAGAACCCTCGAAGCTGCAAACCATTACGTAGAAAGGGATCTGTTCCTTCGCGAACGGATAAATGCTATGACATATTTTAAGGAGTATCGTTCTGGTGCATATGTAACTACAGCCTTAATCAATAATTACTGTATTATGATGTCCACAATTGTAACAGAAAAACTATCGCTGCCCCTAGGGCTGATATCGCACCTCGACGTAATTATCCTACCATATTCGGCTTGCGCTGACGCCAGCCCTGGCGGCTGGCTGCGGCAGCAGTCGGCTGCCCGGGTAGCACTCGCTACGCACCTGGTCGAACTCTGCGAAAAAATCGATAAAAATTGAAAAATTGATATCGATCGATGAAGAAAATAGTCTATGACATCCGCCCCACCGAAGTGAATGTGCGCAAAGTTTGGTCCGGATCGGTTCAAAATTAATATTTTCTATTCGGAACATGCACACACCATACGCACAACCACACACGTTCAGCTTTATGTATAAGATCTGAGATCGCTTGAGGTATGAACGATGCCTAAGACTATGGAAGTGTCATAATTGTAAAAGTTGATAAAACAACTTTGGCACTTTCGAGCACATTTTCACACGATTTTTAGACTGCTCTAATGCAAGGTCTTGATGCTTGGAAGCAGAGGTTCGTGAAAAGTGCGACTGCAATCTTTTCATCCCTTCTTAGCCTTCTGTGTGCGTTGAGTCCAGCACAGTGCTTGCAATCCCTCGAAGCTGTTAAGTGCTTTTCAAGCATTTTATGGCCTTGTGATGTTAAAGCTGGATGAGAGCCCCCAACTGAGCACGATTGGCTGCCTGAGCCAAACAGCTAACTTTTTCAATACGGATAAAATGGCTTTATCCATTAGCGCCATTTTTCTGCACAGTCACTGTTTGTGGAGGGAATCTCTTAACTATCCCCTCCAGCAATCCCCTAGGCTGAAAAACGTCATAGAAACACCTTTTTAACAACTTCGTAAGATTTCAAGCATAATACCGAACTCAGCGCAATCAGAAGGTCGAAGAGGGTTGAAAAGCAAAATTCAAGTCTCATGTTTCTAAACCTCTAGTCTTCAATGTAAATTTGCTCCGCACAAAAGTCGAACTTGTGATTTTGATAGTCGATAAGGTGAAAATCACGAAAGAAAAATTTATGAAATATGTTACAGAGCCAATTTTTGAAATTGAAAAAAAGGCGAAAAGGGATGGCCGAAACAAGCCATATCCTTTTTATAGGAGTCCTATTTAATTAGGTGGTGATATTGCGCTCGTGTGTTTGCTCACTTCACTTGACCGTTCCATGTTTATCATCCGGAACATCTGTGTACATGCATCATTATTCTACAGGTGAACTAAGGTTGTACTGTGTACTTCGATGGCGTAACGGCAGTTTTCTGGTAACATTAGTTCCCATTTCGGTCTCAAATCCTTATCTGAAATTTCTTTTATTCGCAGACTTGTCGTACAAGCTAGTACAGAGTAGAGTATTAGGTAGAAAACCAAATTTTACAATTTCTTTCACATTACTCTCTTCACATATTACGCACTCAATTTGTCATTGCGTATGTAATGACGTAATGTATACAAGCTCAGCTCCTACTCCGCCAAATTTCGTCGTCGTAGTGAAGCTGACGGAAGGCGTATATTGTAAGTGGAAAATTTGTGAACTGCTACAAATGTGGCTTAATCTTGGCATAGAGGATTTATTTTACACGCTGTCACAAAAACGATACAATTCGATGAGAAAACAATTCATTTCAACGATACAATAAAAATGAAAATGAAAAAATTTGCATGATAGGGGCTTTTTTGTAAGATTGTTGCTAAAGCCTTACGGTATGGAATTTCATCTTAAACGTGAAAAGAAGCTTCAGGTGAATATGATAATCGTGTTCAGCAGATCATTGATCCGACTAGGCAAAACCTCGGTTACTTCTGAAATTCCAACTTCAGGATCGTTGATTGTCGTCTTCATCAGTTT